TAAGTGAAATACAGGTGGTGAAAGATGAAAATACCATATGATCTCACCTTAAGTGGAACTTAATCAACAAAATGAACAAGCAAGAAAAATATAACCAGAGACATTGAAATTAAGAACAAAGTGATGAAAGGGGGAATAGAACAACTGTAACAGCATAATCAATAAAAAAATTTAAAAAAAAAGAACAAAGTGACTAACCACAGGGGAGATGGCAACGAATAATAGGGAGAAAGGGAGGAAGGGTTTTCAGGAACAACTATAAAAGATACAGGGACAAAACCAAGGGGATGGAATCAGGAGAGGGAGGTAGGGATGGCTGAAGTAGGGGGCAGTGGAAGGGGAAAAGGCAGAAAACTGTAGTTAAACAACAATAAAATAAAATAAAATAAATAGTTAAATTTTAAAAAGAAAAATAAATCAATGCATTGAAAAAGTTAAGAAAAATTATTTAATTTAGGGTAATAACATTATATAAATTTCAGTTGTACAATATTATAATTTAATGTCTGTATATTTTATTGTGTGCTCACCACACAAGTCTAATTTCAATTCATTCGACACCCCCTTAACCCGCTTTAACTTCCCATCACTGCCTTCCCTCCGATAACCACTATTCTGTTGTCTTATCTATGAGATTTTTGTTTTGTCTTCTTTCTTCATTTGTTACTTTTTTACTCTATAGCACATATGAGTGAAATAATATGGTTTTTTCCCTTTTCTGACTTATTTTACTTAGTACACTACCCTCGATATCCATCAATGTCACAAATAGCAATATTGTATTTCTTTTACAGATGAGTAATATTTAATTCCATATATGTATCACTTCTTCTTTATCCATTTATCCATCAATGAACACTTAGCCAATATCTTGGCTCTTATAAATAATGAAGCAGTAAACATAGGGTTACATATATCTTTTCAAATTAAGTTCAGGTACTTTAAATAAATACCCTGAAAAATAATTGCTGGGTCATATGTTAGTCCTATTCTTAGATTTTTTAGGAAGCCCCATAATGTTTTTCATTCTGGCTGCACCAGTTTACACTCCTACCAGCAGTGAAAGAGGGTTCCCTTTCACTATATTCTCAGTTACTATTTCTTATCTTTTTGATAATGACTTACCTAATGTGTGAGTTGATATTTCATCATGGTTTTGATTTGAATTTCCCTGATGGTTAATGATGTTGAGTATCTTTTCATGTACTTTTGGTTATTTGCACACCTTGTAAAAATGTCTGTTCAGATCCCCTGTCCATTTTTTAACCAAGTTGTTTGCTCTTTTGTTGTTGAGTTATGAGTTCTTTACACATTTTTTATATTAACCTCTCATGGGGTGTATCATTTGTAAACATCTTCTCTTATTCAGGTGGTTGTTTTTCAGTTTTCTTGGTGATTTCCTTTGCTGTGCGGAAGCTTTTTAGTTTCAGGTACTCCCATTTGTTTATTTTTGTTGCTTCCCTTGTATTGTGAGTCAAATTCATAAAAAACACCATTGAGACAAAAGTCTAGAAACTTAGTGCTTATGTTTTCTTTTATGTATTTTAATTTTCTTTTCAGGTCTTACATTCACATTTTTAACTCATTTTTATTTAATTTTTTGTTTATGGCATGAGATAGTGGTCTAGCCCTAAATAATTGGCTTAGTTGGTTGGAGTGTTGTTCCATACACCAAAAGGTTGCAAGTTTGATCCCCAGTCAGGGTGTGTACAGGAGGCAACTGATCAATTTTTCTCTCTCTCATTGATGTTTTTCTCTCTCTGTCTCTCCCACCCTTCCTCTCTCTCTAAAATCAATAAACATATCCTCAGGTGAGAATTTAAAAATAAAGGATAATTGTCTGGTTTTATTCTTTTGTATATAGGATTCCAGTTTTTCCCTATGCCATGTATTGAAGATACTTTTCTTTCTACCATGAATGTTCTTAGTTCCTTTGTCATTAATTAGTTGCCCATATGTGTATCAGTTTATTTCTGGGTTCTAAAATCTGTTCCATTGGTCTGTGTGTCTGTCTGGTTCTCTGCGAATACAATACTGTTTTGATTACTATCACTTCAGAGTATAGTTTGAAATTGGGGTGTGTGATAACTCTGCCTTTGTGTTTTTTTAATTTTTGTCTCAGAGCTTTTTTGGCTATTTGGGGTTCTTTGTAGTTCCATGCAAATTTTAGAAATTTTTGTTCTACCGTGAAAAATGTCATAGGGATTTTGATGGATCTTACATTGGAACTGCAAATTCCTTTAGGCAGGCCGTTACTTCTTAATGGTTTCCTTATTTCTGCATTTGCCTTCTTTCTACTTATTGTCAACAGATGGTCATTGGTGACAGTTCAATGAGGAACCCCCAATTTAGAGTGTGGTAAAAAAGGAAATTTTTTTTCAGTGCAAACATTTCAATTATGATACAACACAGCTATGAGAATAGCAGGTCTGGGAAACAGCTCAATAGTGTTACAGCTCAATTATGTTGCAGCAAAGCTGTGGAACAGCACTGCTGTGCAACAGCCCTGATACAAGGTAGCCTTGCCGCAAGGCCACCTTCTCTGGCTAGAAAGTGTTGGGAGCCACCCTGCCTGGTTTCAGGAGATGTAACCGCCCCCCCCCCATGTCTAAGACTGAGTGAGCAACCTTCAGACCATAAGCCACAAAGGAGACAAAGTTTATCTCCCTGGCAGAAGTTCTGCTTCTGCTCCTTTTTTCATAACTGGCCCCCAATGCTTGGTCACTTAGCCAATGATGGGTAAGGTTCCTCAAGGGGGGAATGACCTAAGACAGGCATGATCATATGGAGTCCCCAGGGAAGGACTTGGGGGGCTATGGAGAAAGGGGGTGATGGACCCTTACCCCTTGGCTTTGACAAAGCCTGACTCCCCTGAGTCTGCAAGAAGTCTCTGAAAATTCTTTGGGTATCTGCCTCCTTTGCCTGACTTAAGCCTGAAACAATGACAGAGGGTGGTGCAGCCCTGTGCTAGAAAGGGCAGGCTCCCTGGGTGATCAGGCCTGAGAAAGGATATGTAAAATCCTGTGAAACCTGCTTTGCTAAGAATGCTCTTAAACGATAGAGGTCCAAGGAGGAAATGAGTTTCTTTCCCAAAGTTTTGTAGCCTTTTAGCTGATAGACCCTGACTCAGAAGAAACCCTAATGGTTCTTTGCATGCTATCTATGGTTTGATCCTTACTGCCAATAATTAATGAGCTATAATTAATGACAATAATTAATGAGCTATACCTGTATTCCTTCGCAAATTAAACCCAATAAAAGCTTGTCAAGGCACGGGTCAGTGCGCTCTCCCCTTGAGAGGGTGGCCAAGATGCTCTGAAGTGCTCCCCCCTTGAGGGAATAGCCATGTGTTCCCTTTTCCTCCACAGGACTCAGTAGTCCATGTGAATTTGTCTCATGTCTCATCCATGACACTGTGGGGCACTGCAGGCCGGTGCCCGAGTCAAGAAAGCTCTGCTCTGCCTTCCTTGCTCTACTCCATTTTTCCTCCATTGTGCCTTGCTCTGCCTGCTCTTCCCTGATCAAGTCCAGTGATATGTCTCAGCCAGAAACAGAATCACTAGTGTTTGGTGCAAATGGAAAATGCTCACTCTGAGACCGAGGGAGAGCTGACTTATATCGAGAGAAGTCCCCACCCCTGGTCTCTGACTGGTCATTCTCATGCAAATGAGGATTCTAAATTCTTGTGGTTTGATTGGTCCAAGAAATCATTGTCCTGATTAGAATGGAACAGCTCTAATTGGTTATTAAGGATGCTAATGGTGATACTGCTGCACACTTTTGTTTGGACAGGGAAAGTCTCAGTCCTATTGATTGAAATACAATTCCAGAAGCTCCTTTACATGAGTTGGCTCAGATGGCAGGAACACAATACAGTCAGGCCAGTTCAGGGAGGCAGCTTAATGCAGGCTTCTACCTGAAGATTGGTTTGTGTGAGCAACCCCTGTGTAGGGTTTAGGCTCTGTTTTTAGTTTTTAATTCTGGCCAAGTTAGCCGCCAGGAGGTCCTGGTGGACCTCTGCTTTCTAAGTTAAGACACTACTCATGCTTGCACAGTGGCCAGAATTATTTTGTCAAATCAAATGGCATGTTCCCTTTGCTAAATACTATCAGAGTAGAAACTGTCTTTATAAGGAGCAGCAAGGCCCTATATCCCTCTCAGTCCAGTTCTAACTTCTCTCTGACCTCTCACATACCACACTTCCCCACACTCACTCTTCTCCCCACATTGAATATTATTGAGCATCCTCTAGCCTCAGGGCCTCCCACAGATATCTGCTTGTCTCCTTCCCTCACTTCCTTTTGGGCTTCGCTTCAAATGCCACTTTCCCACTTGACCTTCACAGGTCAACCTTCTGCAATCCTTATCCCTGTCTCTTATGTTGCTCCACCTTAGCATTTGTAATTATCTTACATTAAAAATTCATTTTACATGAATTTGTAAAATGAATTTGTAATGTATCTTACATTACTTTTCATTTCTTTTATTGTTTTCCAGCTGTAAATTCTAAAGGGGCAGGGATATTTCCTTTGGTTATCCCTCCCCCTCCCCCATTGTGACTGCTGTATTCTCAGTCCCTAAGACAATTCCTAGCATGAGTTCGTGCATAATAAATATTTATAGATTGTATATATGATAGAAAGATGGTAACGAGAAGTTTTATATCTCCTAGTTTCCACAGCTACGAATTTGGGGTATACCATTGCCTAGTCCCTGCCCTCCAGTTGTTTTCAGAAGAGGATGCTAGAGCAAGAACAAAATTCCACAGAGAACAACCTCGGCTCCTGGCTTATGCCCTGAGCCTCGCACTTTCCGGAAATAGCCCACACAGGAGGACCCTCGCCCCACATTCGCCCCTCCACACTCCTCCTCACTCTACTCTTCCTGTACTGGCTGGCTCCTGGACACGGCCCCGCTCTGCGCACTTCCGGTCCAGCCCCAAACCCGGCTGACTCCCAGTCCCGTAGCTCTTGGGGGTTTGGCCAGTTGACCACAAAGCAGGGAGAACGAGAGGGCGGAGCACAGTGGCACAAGGAGGTGGAGCTTCTGGCCTTTGCGACATAAAGAACGGCGGCGTTAATGGCGTGGGAGCCCTGGGCCCACTAGTGCTTTTGCCCCGCGTCGGTGCGACCTACGTGCGCTGGTTGAGACAGTAGACCCCGACCCCAACTGTCCAGGTGAGGTGGGTCGCACAAGCCTGTGGGCCGCACCTGCAGGCAGGGGCCGGGTGGCTGCACGTTCCTCCCTTGGGACCGCAGAGCCAGGAAGTCAGCAGGTGGGACAAAAAGTGTCCTTGACCTCAACTCTGGGCTGATGGTGGCCGGGGTGGGGGGTGAAGAAACCTGCAGTACTCCTTCGCCCCCTGTCCCTAGCTTCGCCCTGGGACTGGCCGCGGGCCTGGGGTCCGAGGGACGCGGAGTCTTCGTCTTCCCTTTGCCTCTGGATATAGGGGCTACAGGTTCAGTATGACGAGGTATCCCGTTTTTCCCTGCACCCTGGATGGCTAGGGGTGGGGTCACTTTAACGTACCCAACGGGGGGTGGGGGAAGCCCGGCTGCTTGACCAAGCCTTTAATACCCAAGCCCTACTATACGGCCGTTTCTGAAGTGGCGTTACCCCTTTGAGCAGAATTTGTAGTGTGCCGGCTCTTTTACTAAGGTGGATTGATGTTCAACTTCTGATGTGTGATCTGGGATGGGGCGAAGACAGCGGTTTCATTGAGAACGTGGAAGTTAGATGGTTGGGGAGAGCCGTGGCCTAGGTGGGCCATTGCAGCCTCTGCTCCAGGATGCGCCGCTGCCGGTGGCCAAGTGCCTTCTTTGCCTACTCTACCGCTGCCAAGTCCCTTCGGGCTTCATCTGTCACTTGCTAAATGAGAGTGTTCCATTCTTCTAACAGATGGAATTATTGGAGAGAATTATCTCCTGTAAATAAATAACGTTGCATCCCACTGTAGAACAACTTTTTAGGATGTACCTGTTTCCTTTTGTTATATTAAGAGTTTGCACATGGAAAAACTTTGAAATAAGATGCCACGCTCTGGGGCAGAAAAGGCTGCTTGTTTAAATCATTCTGCTGTTTGGAAGAATCGCCCCTTTCCTCACCACAAATGCCATGTAGGAGTCTTTCCAGTCTCTTTGCGTGTTTTACTTATAAATTGTGCCTTGGTTCATTGCTGGGAGCTCTCTGTAGGTCTGTGTGTTTGCACAGGATGGAAGTGAAGAAAGGCCACTTGCTTCCTTTCTGCTTTAGGAGACTTACCCCAAGCTATGGGACAGGGAAGCAGTGGTGTGTGTGGGCCGGGCCGTTGTTGTGAGGGAGACTATGAAGCTAAATGGCTTGGATAAAGTCAAGTGAGTCAGTCTCAAGGTCCCACCATCAATACTGTTATTAGGAAGGAGGGATTATGAGTGACTTTCTTATAAAAGAGGCCTTTGCCGTGGTTTCCAGGTTTTCCACCTTGGACTTTAAATACTTTTAAGAGAAAAAGATTTAAAAAAGTAATGATAGTTAAAATGATCTATTAAACAGAACGCTATCAGCAGCCTTGCAGTTTTAATAACTTTGTGCAAAAGTAGGTGTTTATTAACAGAGAAATGCTAAGGCAGTTAGAGAAGCAGGCTACCACTGTGGTGCCCCTGCTGTTTGATTTGTACATCGTCTAGTGGTTTAAACCATTACAAATTTAGCTGATCTGTATTGGCAAATCCAAGCCTGCTGTATGTGCTTAAATATAGTTTATATTCAGTAAAAATGAGAGGATAATCATTTTTACAGGATGAAAAAATAACTTTTTCCAAAGATCTTGAACTTCAGATAACATTTAATACCATTAAGTTAGAAAGAGAACACTTTATAGAGGAAAAGTTAGGGTTTAAAATTGTTTTAATTGAATTTATATAAACTTTGAAGGAAAACCTTTTCCCTAAATTGTATTCTTCAGAGGTGTTGAACTGATATTTGCTAACAGCATTTGTAAATCCCTAGTGTTAGTGCATCCTTTGCTCTGAGTCCTTATGAATGTTTGGTGGTGAATAGTAGAGTAACAAAGAATTGGAAAATTGTAATCATAAATAGTAAAGGTATCCAGATCCTGCCCTTTTATGGTGATTGACTTTATATGCCAGCTGGTGGATGGTTCTTTTTTAATTTTAATTTTTTCTTTGAATATAAAACATGTGGCATGTGAAAGGTCCCTCTGACCACATCGTTTCTACCTTGGACACATAGGTTTGGGATTGCCTTAAAGAGGTGGCTGCTAGGTATCTCTTCTTTGAGCCAAAGAAGGCAGGTCTAGAAAAAGGAGCCAAAATACAGTGTCCTGGCCTCACTCCTGACCAGAGGGAATGGCACAACCATCTTGCCTGGAAGGGCATTTCAGGTGTCATAGGCACTTTGCTCTCCAATTCCATGGTTATTCTATAAAGGTTGAGTGGTGGTGGCCGTAACTAGACTCTAGATTTGGGTGTAGTTTAGTCCTTGTTTTGAGGTACAAATTAGGAGTTCAGGCTCAAGGCCAGAGATTTCATTAATCATAGCAAGAGGCCAAACCTTTGGGTCAGACTACCTGGAGCTACTTGAAGGGTGGTGATAGCAGAAAGTTTTCCTTCCCCATCCTTGGGGTAACCTTGAGACACCTGGTAGGAGTTCTACACCAAAGGATTCTGAATGTTGTTGTCTGAACCATGGTGTAGAGACACCTTATGAAGTAGGTTCTCTTTTTCATCCTCTTGACAAAACTTTGAGCATGCCTGGATGCACTGTGTGTGTGTGTGTGTGTGTGTGTGTGTGTGTGTGTGTGTGTGTGAATCTTGGAATGTCCTTCTGTAGACGTTAAGGGATAAATAACTTCTAGTTTCTCAGTCTGGTTCATAGTCTGCCTTCAGCTGAAATCTTTTTTTTTTTTTTTTTTTTTGTCAAATAACCAAAAGCCCTCCAGGTAATTTTGATGTACTCAAGTTTGAGAAGTTTTAGTATGTACCAGGTTTTGTGCATTGACTGTTACTGGGTTGGCAAAAAGTCCATTTAATTTTTTTCCATAAGAGACACATTTTACATTTTCACCAATAACTTTGTTGATTTGGGTATTTTGAGTATGTTGACTGTCTTCTGTTATTGGCTTCTAATGGGTAGAGCCTGTGGGGTACTGCTAAACACCTTCTAATGCATAAGACAGCCCCACAGAAAAGAATTTATTTGGCAAAATGTCAAAAGTACCAAGAAACTTTACAAACCACTTTTGACACGTTGGATTAGTCACAGCACCTTCTCCATACACTGCACAAATATTTTTTGCATTTCAGTTGTGTTTATTGAAATATTGAAGGATAAATGCTGAAAAAGTTGCTTACTTTATTCCATCTTCAATATTAAAATAACTGCCCCCACATTCACTAATTTTGATGAGTTTTTTAAAAATTCACAGTGATATCACTGTTATTACAGTGATAATCATTTTTACAGGATGAAAAAATAACTTTTTCCAAAGACCTTGAACTTCAGATAACATTTAATACCATTAAGTTAGAAAGAGAACACATTATAGAGGAAAAGTTAGGGTTTAAAATTGTTTTAATTGAAGGTAGGAGTTCTACACCAAAGGATTCTGAATGTTGTTGTCCACTAAATTGTTTCAAATGAAGTTAAAGCAACTAAGCAATACTATAGCCATCGTATAGAAATAGCTAAATAAACTTTTTGGCTACCCCAATATTTTGTATTTCATTATAGGAAACTGACAAATGTTTTGTTATAAGACATACTCTTTTTTTCTTTGTTATTATATTATCTAAAAAATTTTTTGCTGTTGTTCAATTATAGTTGTCCCCATTTTCCCCCATTGCTCTCTTCTGCTCTACCCACACCCCACCACCCACAATCAACTCACTCACCACCTGCCCCCGCCCTGCCGGTATCTTTGTCCATGGGACTTTTATACACGTTCCTTGACATTACCTTCCACTTCTTTCCCCATTATGGTCCTTGCCCTTCCCTTATGGTCACTGTCAGTTTGTTCTTTATTTCCATGTATCTGATTCTATTTTGCTTGCTTGTTTGTTTTTTTATTAGGTTCCACTTAAAGGTGAGATCATATGGTATTTGTCTTCCACCATCTGGCTTATTTCACTTAGCATAATACTCTCCAGTTCCGACCATGCTGTATGGAAGTGTAGGAGTTCCTTCTTTCTTTATGCTGCCTAGTATTTCATTCTGCATATGTACCACAGTTTTTTTGATCCACTCATTTACCGATGGGCACTTAGGCTCTTTGTAGCACTAGGCTATTGCAAATAATGCTACTATGAACACTGGGGTATATAGGTTGTTTTGAATTGGTGTTTCAGAATTCTTAGGGTATAATCTCAGCAGGGGGATTTACCGTCTTAGAAGACAGTTTGATTTTTAGTATTGAGGGCAACTTCCATGCTGTTTTCCACAGTGGCTGCACCAATTTACATTCCCACCGGGAGTGTACCACAGTTCCATAACCTTGCCAGCTCTCCACAACCTTTTCTCCATAACCTTGCCGGCTCTTGTTTGCTGATTCATTTATGATGGCCATTATGATCAGTGTGAAGTGGTATCCCACTGTGGTTTTAGTTTGCATGTCTCTAATGGCTAGTGAAGCTGAGCATCTTTTCCTATGATGCTGGGCCCTTTGTATGTCCTCCTTAGAGAAGTGTCTGTTCAGGTCCTTTGCCTAGTTTTTAGTTGGATTGTTTGTCTTTCTGGTGTCAACTTGTGTGAGTTCTTGATAAATTTTGTAGTTCAAACCCTTGTCTGAGGTATCATTGGCAAATATATTTTCCCACGTAGTTGAATCCCCTATTCATTTAGCTGATGTATTATTTAGCTATGTAGAAGTTTTTTAATTTGATGCAGTCCTATTTGTTTATTCTTTCTTTTATGTCCTTTGCTCTAGGGAACATATTGGTGAAAATATTGCATGTGGAATATCTAAAATGTTTCTGCCTGTGTTTTTCTCTAGGGATTTTTTGGTTTCATGACTTACATTTCAGTCATTTATCCACCTTGATTATAAGTTGGTGGTCAAGATTCATTTTCTTGCATGTAGCTGACCAAATGTCCCAACACTATTTGTTGAAGAGGTTATTTTTACTTCATTTTGTGTTGCTGCCCACTTTGTCAAATATTAATTAACCATAGAGACATGGGTTTATTTCTGGGTTCTCTATTCTGTTCCATTGGCCTGTGTGCCTGTTCTTATGCCAGTACCAAACTGTTTTGATAACCATAGCCTTTGAATATACTTTGATACCAGCTATTGTGATCCCTCCTACTTTATTCTTCTCTCTCAAAATTGCTGTGGCTATTTGTGGTCATTTATGGATCCATATATATTTTTGAAATGTTTGTTCTATATCTGTGAAATATATTAATGGTATTTTCATAGGGATTGCATTTAATCTATAAGTTGCTTTGGGTAGTATGGCCATTTTGATGATGTTAATTTTTCCAATCCATGAATAAGGTGTATGCTTCCTTTCATTTCTGTGTTCCTTAACTTTCTTCAGTGTTGTACAGTTTTCTGAGTATTGGTCTTTTACCTCCTTGGTTAGGTTTATTCTTAGGTACTTTATTTTTCTTGTTGCTATGTCAAATGGGATCTTTTTCCTGATTTCTGTTTCTGATATTTTGTTGTTGGTGTACAAAAATGCCTTTGATTTCTAAATATTGAGTTTTCTTCTCTCTGATTTGCCAGATCCACTTATTCGGCCAAGTAGTTTTTTTTGTTGGAGTTTATAGGGTTTTCTATGTACACTATTATGTCACCTACAGACAATAACAGTTTTGTTTCCTCTGTTCTAATTTGGATGCCTTTTATTTCTTTTTCATGTCTGCTCACGGTGGCTAGACATTCTATTACTATGTTGTATACCAGAGGTGAAAGAGGACATCCCTTTCTTGTTCTCTTCTTAGGTTGAAAGTTTTAGTTTTTGCCCATTGAGTGTAATATTGGCTACAGTTTTCTCGTTCATGGCTTTTATTATGTTGAGGTATGCTCCTTCTACTCCCACTTTTGTGGAGTGTTTTTATCATAAATAGGTTCTGTACCTTATGAAATGCTTTTTTTGCATCTGTTGATATGATCATGTGATTTTTGCCTTCCCTTTTATTTATGTGATGTATTATATTTACTGATTTGTGTATATTATACCATCCTTGCATTCCTGGGTTGAATGCCACTTGATCATGGTGTGTGATATTTTTAATGTATTGCTGAAAGCAGTTTGCCCATATTTTGTTGAGGATTTTTGTGTCAATGTTCATCAGCAGTATTGGCCTGTAGTCTTCATTTTTCATTGTATCTTTGCCTGGTTTGGGGATTAGGATGATGCTGGCCTCATAAAAAGAGATTGGGAGTCTTCCCTTTTCTTGGATTTTTTTGGAATAGATTGAGAAGAATCAGGCATAGCTCTTTCTTAAATGTTTTGTGAAATGTTCTTGTGAAACTGTCTGGTCCAGGGCTTTTCTACGCTGGGAGTTTTTTGATTACTGCTTCAATTTCACTAGCTGTTATCAGTCTGTTCAGGCTTTCTGCTTCTTGATTCAATTTTGGAAGATTATATTTTCCTAGAAGTTTGCCCATGTTGCCCAGGTTTTCAAATTTTTCCTCATACAGTTCTTCGTAGTAATTTCTTAGAATCCTTTGTGTTTCTGTGGTATTGGTTGTAATTTTGCCTCTTTCATTTCTTTTATTTATTAGGGTCCTCTCTTTTTCTTGATGAATCTGTTAAATGCTTGATGATTCTGTTTATCTTTTCAAAGAATCAGCTCCTGGCTTTTATGAACCTTTGAATTGTTCTTTTAGCCTCTATGTCATTTAATTCTGCTATGATCTTGATTATTTCCTTTCTTCTGCTTACTCAGGGCTTTGTTTGTATTGTTCTTCCAGGTATTGTATATGTAGGATTAGATTGTTTATTTGAAATTCTTCTATCATTTTTAATAGATATGTATTGCTATGAACTTTCTTCTCAGGAATGCCTTCGCTGTGTCCCATAGGTTTTGGACTGTTGTGTGATCATTTTCATTTGTTTCCAGAAACTTTATGATTTCTTACTTATTTTTATTATCAATCCATTCATTGATGAATAGCATACTATTCAGTCTCCTTAAATTTGAATTGTTGAGTTTTTTCCTTGCAGTTAATTTCTAGTTTCAGTCCCTTGTCTGAGAAAATGCTTGATATGATTTAAATTTCTACAATTTGTTGAGGCTTGTTTTGTGTCCTATTATATGGTCTATGTTTGAAAATGTTCCTTGTACATTTGAAAAGAATGTGTTTTTTTTGCATCTTTGGGATAAAAAATTCTATATATCAGTTAACTCCAGTTGATGTAGGATATTGTTGAATGCTGCAGTATCTTTGTCAGTATTTTCTTTGGAAGATCTATCCACTTTTGACAGAGAGGTGTTAATATACCCTAGTATAAATGTGTGGCTATCTATATCTTTCTTGAAGTCCTCCAAGATTTTCCTTATATATTGGGGTGCTTCTATGTTGGGTACATATATGTTCACAATGTTTATGTCTTCTTGATGGATTCTTCCCTTGAGTATTATGAATTATTCTTCTGTATCTCACTTTATGGCCTTTGTTTTGAAGTTTATTTTTTCTGATGTAAGTATTGGTACCCTAGGCTTTTTTCCCCTGTTCATTTGCTTGGAATATTTTTCCCAACTTTTCTCTTTCAGTCTCTGTAGGTCTTTTTTTCTGAGGTGGGTCTCTTGTAGGCAGCATATGTGTAGGTCATGTTTTCTTACCTATTCAGCTACCCTATGTCTTTTGATTGGAGCATTTGACCATTTACATTTAAGGTTATTATTGATAAGTATTTATTCATTTCCATTTTGCTTCCTTTGTACATGTGTTCCTCTCTTTAATACTTTTTCTTCCTCTTTTTAAAGAAGTCCCTTCAGCATATCTTGCAATGCTGGTTTGCTGGATGTGTATTCCTTAAGCCTTCTCTTGTCTGGGAAACTCCTTATTTTGCCTTCCATTTTAAATGAGAAGCTTGCTGGATAGAGTAATCTTGGTTGCAGGCCTTTGTTTTTCATAACTTAGAACATTTTTTGCCATTCCTTTCTGGCTTGTAGTGTTTCTGTTGAGAAGTCAGCTGCTAGCATTATTGGGGTTCCCTTATATGTTAATTCCTGTTTCTCCCTTGCTGCCTTTAAGATTCTCTCTTTTCTTTTGAATTTTGCTATTTTAATTATGATGTGTCTTGGAGTGTGACTTTTGCCTTAATATTGATTGAGACTGTCTGTGCTTCCTGGACTTGCTTGACTTTTTCTCTCATCAAATTAGTGAAGTTTTCTATCATTAGTTTTCAATTTTCTCTCAGTACTGGTTGTTGTTGGTTTTTTAAAATTGTTGTCATCCTTATTTTGGTTGTGTGAAGAGGCACAGTGTATCTACCTATACCTTTGTCTTGGCCGGAAGTCTGTTTATGTCTTCTTGATAAATTCTTCTCTTGAGTATTATAAAGTGTCCTTCTGGGTCTCTTTTTATGGCCCTTTTTTGAAGTCTATTTTGTGTGATATGAGTATTGCCACCTCGGCTTTTTTTTTTTACTTCCCACTTGCTTGAAATATTTGTTTCCAGCCCTTTACTTTCAGTCTGTATAAGTCTTTTGTCCTGAGGTAGGTCCCTCTTAGGCAGCATATGTGTGGGTTATGATTTCTTATGCATTCAGCTATTCTGTGTCTTTTGATTGGAGCATTTAATCCATTTACATTTAAGGTTCTTATTGATAGGTATTTATTCATTGCCATTTTTCATACCTGTGTTCCTCTCTCTCTCACTCTTTTTTTTTCTTTTCTTTTCTTAAAGCAGTCCCTATAGCATGTCTACAAGAGCTGGTTTGGAGGAGGTATGTTTTTTTAGACTTCTTTTGGTCTGGGAATCTCCTTATTTGGCCTTCCATTTTAATTGAGAGCCTTGCTGAGTAAAGTAACCTTGGTTGCAGGCCTCTGGTTCTCATTACTTGGATATTTCTTACCATTCTCTTCTGGCTTGCAGCGTTTCCATTGAGAAGTCAACTGCTAGCCTTATTGGTGCTCCCTGATATGTAACTTCCTATATCTCCCTGTTGTCTTTAAGATTCTCTCCTTGTCTTGGAGTGTTGACATGTTAATTATGATGTGTTTTGAAGTGGGCCTCTGGGTGTCTTGACTGGGACTCTCTGTTTCCTGGATTTGTGTGACTTTTTCTCCCATCAAATTAGGGAAGTTTTCCATCATTACTTTTTCAAACAGGTTTTCTGTGTCTTGCTCTTCTTCTCCTTCTGGTATCCCTATTATATGGATATTATTATGTGTCATGTTGACCTGCATTTCCTTTAACCTTTGTATGTTGTTTCTGAACCTCTTTTCTTTTTCTTGCTCTTTCTTGGTATTTTTTTCTATCTTGTCATCCAGCTCACTGATGTGATCCTCTGCTTCATCTAGGTTGATTTTGATTCCTTCTACTGTGTTCTTCAGTTCAGAGATTGTATTTTTTATTTCCTCTTGGCCCTTGTTGATAGTTTTATTTCCTTTTTTATGTTGAGATAGTTTGCAATGAGTTCATTGCAGCTTCCCTGTAGTTTTTCGTAATTCTCAGCGAGCTATTCAGCTTTCTTATAAATATTGCTTTGAACTCAATATCCGATATTTGACTTGCCTTTATTTCATTTAGAATTCTTTCTGAGGCTGTTGGGTAAAATTGATAGTTATTTTAAGGGACAATACAGTGACTAGAGAGCGATTTGTTTTTGCAGCCCGGTGGCTTGTTTTGGCCCAAAGAGGCCTAAAGCCTCTTTTGGCTTCTCTGGACTGCTTATGGTCTGCATGCCAGAGATAACCCTTTGCTCCTTCTGCTTCTGTAAGCTGCCTCTTGCTTTCGCGCCAGAAATAATGGTCCAAAGGACGGGCCCTCCCTTGCTCTATAAAAATAACTGCTCCCCCACTGCTCAGGGCCCAGAATTTGGAGACTGACTCCTCTGGGTCCGCGAGCGTCAAATAAAGTTCCACTCCATACACCCGAAAGCAGCTGAGTTGTTTTCTGTAATATTTTGGTTCCCTGACCGAGAATGACGCTCAGGCGAACAGGCCTTTTTTTTTGGCTTATGGTGAAGGCGACCAGGGAGTGACCCAGAGGGAGCCCAGCGGCCAAAGGGAAGTACGCGCCCCAGTGATTTTGGGTCCCGGACACAACGGGCTATATGGAAGTCATCCTCTGGACTGCTCTTTGACCCAGGCAGGCGGGGTGCAGACTGGAACTATCCGGACCTGAGGAGGCACTGATCAGTAAGTACCCCAGGGACCAGAGCCCGACCAGCCCACTCCTTCCAGGGGAAGAAGAAACTGATCACCTCTCGGGCAGACGATTAGCTGTAAGACCTCTAGAGACCAATTAATTGGCCATCTGGAAGGGGAAACGTGTCCCCACCTGGGCAGTTTTACTCGGGTGGGACTGTATAGACTCTTGGATGTTTGTCTGTGTGTTTGTAGGAGTGACTGTGTTTGTGGCTCCATGGTGAAAAACCGACGGAGTAAGAGTGATCCCCCCAACACTGGAAGTACAGGAGGTGGCCGAGGCCCGTATGGACCCCTGCACATGGTCCTGCTAAACGAGTCGCCAAGGAGACAAGCAGGACTACCCCAGCTGAGCCCCCCTTGATTGAGCCAGGAGTGAGCTGTGAAGACCTCCTGGGCCCCCACTGGTGGCCCTGGCAGTGGGTTTTTTGGGAAACCAGATACCTCCTGGGAGCAGGGAGCCACCAGATTCCCTAAGCAGAGGAACCAAGAGTAAAAAGAATGATAGATAAATCTAGATAAGTAGAAATATGTATAAAGGATGTGAAAGTTTTAAACCTGGAGTAAAGGAAACCTCAATTACTTGTTTTCTGGTTTTGTGGGAAAGGAGCAAATTTCTCACATGTGGTTCTGTTTCTGATCAGAAACCTGTATTGTAAGACCTAGGAAAGGTTGCCTGTAGACAGTTGGGGAGAATGCCTTTGCCATCCGGGACCTAAGAAGGGTCAATTGGGGCTGATGAGTGCTTCAGCCTGTGGCAAAGCAGCATGTCTCTGCCATGAGACTGGGACTGAAGGAGCATGTCTCTGCGAAGCACCAGTGGACGCATTGGTGCAAGAGAATGCCTCTACCTGTGTATTGTTTTGGAACTCTGTGTTTTGGATTTTGCTCTGTATCTGCTCTGAAATGGAAAAATGAAAAGCCCACTGGCAGGTGACAAAGACCAGGGTTACAGGTGCCTACAGTCCTCAGCCTAGCTGGCTTAGACCCAGACCAGACTGCCACAGGGCTTCAGAAACTCTCCCACTCCCCTCGGAGAGGCCCTGTCTAGAGATCTATAATCATTCACCGAGAAGGAGACTGACCCAGTGTTACTGCGGTGTGTAGATGACCTCTTTTCAGCCGCACCAACCCAAGACAGGTGCTGGGAGGGCCCTTGCCAGCTATTTGAACTGCTAACCAAGACACGGTACTGGGTGTCCTTAAAGAAGGGGCACAAATTGAAACAGAGTGGGCACACTGCATACTGACCCCAGAGCTTGGGAAAAGTAGAGCGCATGAACCAGACTCTCAAGGAAACTAGCTCAGTTCCACCAGGAGACTGGACTGCCTTGGACTGATTTGCTGCTGCTGGCACTACTTAGGGTTAGGAATGCCCCTAACCTTTCAGGCTATTCCCCGTATGAGTTAGTCTTTGGAAGACCTCCTCCCATCCTCAGAATAGATAAAGGGGGACGCCAGACAGCAGGAAATCCCCTGGTGACGTTGCCTTCTGGGGAGGTGAGGCCCACTATGGCTTCTCCCGCCCTGCAAGTAGGAGAAGTCTCCACCATGGATTTGCAGCCTCTGCACGTGGGCTCTGCTCACCTGCTGCACCAGGGACCTCGGGGGTTTCTGTGGCCTCCTTAGCTCCGGAGACTGGAACCAGAGCCTTGGGGCTGCAACACAGGTGGGCAGAAGCAGAGTCGGGGTCCTGCCATTTTGGGTAAAATGGATGAGCCACGTGAATGCCCCACCATGGAGGAAAGAGCATTCATGGGCGTCGCCATCTTGCAACTGGCTAAGGCTTCTTTTCAGATTATGAGCTGTATGCTGCTGCTGTGTGGACACTGCAGCAGTCAGGTTCTCTGTCTAACTGGTTCTGATAGGAATAGCTCTAGTTTTGAAGGTCGTGAACTGAGGTCCAAGGTTGACCATCTGATTTATAGGGTGTTTGCAAGGTCTAAGCTTCAGAAAGGTGAAAAATGTCCCTGCGAATCTAGGGACTTTTAGTAGAAGATGCCTGTAGCACAAGGGACTTTTAGCTGTCAGATACTGAGTTTAAGTACTGTCCTTCCAAGTGTGGGAAAGGAACAGTGATTAAAAGTGAATTTTGGATAAAGCTGGGTAGGTAAAAAGGCTCCCTCCCATCATGAAGGGATGATTTTCTCCCTTCATCTGAAAATGCCAATTTTCAGAATTTGGCATTCTGAAGGAATAAATGATGACATAAGTTTTATTTGTATAAAACCAATAAGGCCAGTCATTAATAGTGGTTTTGTTAACCAGGACTTTTACTGGAATGTCACGCCTGAAGGAGGCATGTATAGGTTCTGGTCATTACCAGAGAGCTCAGAGGAACTGGGATTGACCTATGAAGCTAGTGAAAGCCCACGAGAAAAGCCTGGTACTTTGGTTGGTTGTGTGGTTCCAGGCAGCCTTTCCAGGGAAGGAACGAAGGTTGCCTCCCTGAAAGATGGCTAAAAAGAAACCTGTAGGCACAATGGAGGCACAAGGATTTGAGTTAAATGACTGGTACAGGCAAAGCCATATGGCAGATGTGTGCCTCTGCTTCTGTGCCCTAAGGGGCGGGCTGCGAATTCAATCTGAAGGTTCCCTGTGTGGGTTCCAGCAAAGTGGACTTAAGGATCATAAGTAATCCAGGTTGCTCTTGGTGTATTTATGCAAATGAACAGTCAAAATCAAAAGCGGGACCCAAAGTAGTCCCTGTAATAACTGTAAGCGTGATCTTAAGGAGAAAAATTATAGTTCAAGGAAAATCACTATGCTCAGTATTGGACATCAGAATTGTGCAGCTAACTGTCTTAAAAGTTTGTTTTCATTTAAGAGTTGAAACCAGGTTTGTGATGTCACCGAAGATGTACAATTTACAGGTGCAAAGGACCTGTCAAATTGCCCCTGTTAAATGTCATTGTAGAAAGGATCTTGCAATGGAATGTCATCCCAAAAGTCTCACAGGCGCAGCAACCGGTTTGGGGATTATTATGTGAATTAACTTGTGTGTTCTTTTGTTTTCATAGTGTGTAGTCCTATGACCTGCCTATGCCTATAGATGATTAGTTACAATATAGGCCTCACTTAAGGAGCCCCTCTTTGTCATCGCCCCCCTGAGACTCAACGGTTTGATTGAACTAAGTAGTTAGGTTGATAAAGGGTTGGGGCGGTCTGTGGGCTTCACTTTAGAACCGATTTTCCCTTTTCTGTCTTGATAGCTTGGACAGAAAGGGCTTAGAAATCTGAAAGGAGGGAAATCCTAATGTATTCCCCTCAGTCCGAGTGAAGTATAGTGGGCCACAAGAGTCTTGGATAGGTGTAGCATGCCTTGTACACCTTCCTCCAGATAAGCCATTCTTTACTGAAGTTCCTGCCTTTGTCATTTAATAGTTATAATTTAATTGTGCTTTCAATTTCTTGCCTAATCTGTCACCTCCGGAATATGACCTGACCAGAAGGCCAACAGTCCCGTAATGCCAGCCTTTGGACACCAAGCCTGCAACTTCCTGATGACAGCCAACTGACCAGGAAGGACCCTGTAAGGTCCTTCCCCTTTCTGGAAGGACTCCCTCCGTATTGCAACCCCCCCCCCTTCTTTCAGGGTAACCGTGACCCAAGGGTAGGTAGGACGACGTCCATGTCCAGCCGGAAGTAGGTACAAGATGATACCCTCATCCATTGTCCTTTATGTGATCCCAGAAGGAGAAAGGAATTTTAGAACCCCTCTTTAATAGTAAATTACAGGAGGAGAAAAATAATGAGGAAAGAAACCTCATTAATGCTCTGAATCCAGGGAAAGGGGGGACCTGTACGTTTCTAGGAGAGAAATGTTGCTACTATGTAAATCAGTCAGAGATCATAGCAAAGAAAGTTAAAGAAATCAGAGAGAATATAAACCATTGCATCAAAGAAACAGAAAGTTAGAATTAGAGAACTGGGGGAATAAACTCTCAAGCCTGACTCCAGTGGTTGCTCCCCTTCCTGGGACCCCTAATCATCATTTTCTTAGGCCTGAGTTTTGGCCCCTGTATACTACGGACCATAGTCCATAGTCTAGAGGCCACAGTGACTCACAGAACAACCGCCAAGATCCAGTCCCTCCAGAGACATCATTATCAGAAGATACCCCAAGATTTATAGGCCAGCCTTATAGTGATGCTATACCAGCTAACAGTGCTGTCAAGCATCAAAGGGGGGAATGTTGGGGGAAATTCATAGCTATTTTAAGACACAACACAGTGAATAGAGAGTGATTTGCTTTTGTAGCCCTGTTGTTTTTGCAGCCCAGTGGCTTATTTGCAGTCTGTTGGCTTGTTTTGGCCCAAAGAGGCCAAAAGCCTCTTTTGGCTTCTCTGGACTGCCTATCATCTGCATGCCAGAGATAACACTCTGCTCCTTCTGCTTCTGTAAGCTGCCTCCTGCTTTTGTGCCAGCAGTAATGGTCCAAAGGACGGGCCCTCCCTTGCTCTATAAAAATAACTGCTCCCGTGCTGCTTGGGGCCCAGAATTTGGAGACTGACTCCTTTGGGTCCTCACACGTAAGATAAAGTTCCACTCCTTACACCCGAAAGCAGCTGAGTTATTTTCTGTAACAAGGCTTCCTCCTTTCCTTTCATTTGGGGATTGTTTCTTTGTCTTCCCATTGTTTGCGCGACTCTTCTTGTGAGCCTCTGCTTCTTAAGCTGATCTTTTCTGCCTCCCTCGGTTTCTGGTTTGAACCTGTATGGTAGAAGACATGTGAGAATCAGTGGTGCAGTGTCCTTGATCTCCTGAGCTCACTGGTCTTGGGGTGTCATTTATATTGGCTCTCTGAATGTCTTTGGGTTTTGATTGTTGTTGGGTTTTTCTTTGGTGGGTTCTTCCCTCCTGCTGGTTAACTGAAGGTCACTATGTCAATCACATCTTATATTCTGTTGTGCAGGTATGAAAAGGTTGTGTTGAAGCTGGTTCTTGTGTCTGTATGAGGTTTTGAGGCTTCTCTCTCACTGTTGTTCAGT